CCCCCCCAATACCCCTCCCGGCCTTGAATATCAATTCTACTAATCTTTACTCCCCCCCACACCCCCCTCGCCCCCGCCCCTTGCTTCAATTCCAACCCTTCCATGAAACACGGCTGCGTGTGCCAGCCACCACACTTCCTACTGCTCCCAGAAAGCCACGTTCACATCCCGACCAAATTGCTCATAACGTCTCCACTGTGCAAACACGCATTGCGAGCCCGGGCCAATAATGAACCCGAATGAAAGAGAGAACAAAATCCATTAGACACGAAACAATATCTGCCAAAGTTTTAGCTCGCGTGATCGGACGAGATTTCACGATGTGCCAGTTTGTTGCGCTTCACTTCCGCCGGAGCTTCTTGCGAGCAGGGGGACATAATGCGATCTACTTTCTTTTCTCGTCTCGGCTCTAGTGAATTGGCGATTTTTTTTTTTTAAAGAGAGAAAAATAGAGAGAGAGAGAGATAGAGAGAGAGAGTGGAGGGTGTGAGTGAGAGAGAGATGGTTGGGGGATACAGAGGGAGGGAGAGAGAGAGTGGAGGGTGTGAGTGAGAGAGAGAGAGAGATGGTGGGGGGGGAGAGAGTGGAGGGTGTGAGTGAGAGAGAGAGAGATGGTGGGGGGGGAGAGAGTGGAGGGTGTGAGTGAGAGAGAGAGAGAGAGAGAGATGGTGGGGGAGACAGAGGGAGAGAGAGAGAGAGTCAGGAAAGTAACAGAAAAGAGGCGGCAAATGAGGTCGGATTTGTTTGATGTTAATTTTAGTGTATTGTGCAACAAGAGACAGACGTCATGAAACAGCGTTATGATGGACTGGTAAACTTGGTGTTCTCAAACAGCGGTATGATAGACCGATGAACTTGGTATCCGCAAATTTGTTTGAAAGAAATTTCGATAACGGAAAATTGATCGACGGAAGTTTGGTCGGACGGAAATTTGATCGAATTTTAGATCAAACGATAAAATTTAGCTTCAAATTTCTTTTTAAACGTATTAATTTGCTTGACCATACAGTATAGTCCGTTCAAAAAGAAATTGACGAAAATTAGATAAATATAGATAGATATATATATCTATACGGGAATGGCTGGGAAGAGGATGTTTATCACTAAAGGTAGTGGTTTAAATTCGTGTTATCCCGACACTGGTTTTGGTTGTCCCCAGTAGCTTTATCGTAAAGCCGAGATGTGTCTGTCCTGGTATCACTGATGTCCGTTCATTTTGACGTTAAAATAATGAAATCAGATTTTACTTTCAAAGTCTACAATCTGTTGGCATCCATTTTGGAGCTGACCTACAGCTCAATCCAACAAACACACCCTATGATCCAATAAACCTGCAACATAATGTGGAGTAATCCGCACAGGACTGCGTTGAGTTTGTAACAATAAGAACCATACACTGGGTGGAGCAAAGCCTGAAGGAGGACAGTACGAGTTGTAAGTTTCGGGGTAAGAAGGCTTGGACGGCAAACGTACACACGAAGACAAACTTAGCTGGTGTAGACATTTAGGCAACAGGAGGCTATATTTCTCTTGTTGTTATTGCGAAACCCGAGGACTGACCTCCCTGCACCTAGGCAAGTTATTAACACTACTCGATCGTATTAATACCATTTGATTAGTGGGATGATTAAGTTGTATTAATGAAGTCAAGGACGGTGTTTTTATTTTTGTACTTCCTGATTCCTTCTCTCACCAGCAGAACTCTATAATTGGCAGTTTATTCGTTTTCAAAGTTGTTGTTTTTTTGGGTCTGTTTTTTCTTTGTTTTTTGTTGTTTTTTTGTGTGTGTTTTTTTTTTCCTGTGTTATAACCTAATGAGTTTCTCTTTAAGTCTGCTCTGATTACCACAGTGAGCTCGCAACGATTGACGTCGTCTTTTGACATCGCCTCTACGACCGGTATGCCGTCCGCTCTATTAACACCCCTTGTTGAGAGTGGTATGAACGCTTTGATGCACTCATTTGCATTTCCTTGTGCAACTCGCCAGGACCTCCCTAGCAGACGTTACTCATATTGACGGCCATAAACATATTCGTGGCGACTTAGTTAAAGCAGAAATTATTAGGTGGGACGGGAGGGATTTTTAAATTCTAAAAAAATATCGTTTTTTAAAGCTAAAATTCTCGACAAAATAAAACGACAAAATAAAATGCATGCCATGAATTAAATACGTGAATTTTTGTTTGCATCTACGATTCTATTTCCACGAAAGAAGCAGTGTTGCTAGCAAAGTCCTGCTGACGATCGAGTGGGGTCGGGGGAGTGTTCCTTACTTTGATTCCCTTTGGGTCTGATACTAGCAGAACCTGAAAATAGCAGAACTTTTGCTTCGGACCCAAATCCCAAGCGGTGTAGGTCAAATCCAGTTGTCACGGCTTTTAGGAAAACACCGGTAGGTCCCCTCGATCTGGAGTATGGGTTTGTGTGTGTGTGTGTGGGGGGGGGGATATTAAAGGTGCCAAATGCTTCCGAGTCAAACCGAGTTCCGTCCCTTCCCCATACCACTGGATACTGACTAAATATATACAAATAAATAATCCTTGCATATTTGAGAAGCAAGTAATGAAATTCGTCGGAGTTGACCTTCCAATGACAGGACACGGAAGCATCCATGGCTCTCAGTGCAGTTCTATCCAATGGATACATCCATAGCTCTCAGTACAGTTCTATCCAATGGATGCATCCATATCTCGCAGTACAGTTCTATCCAATGGAAGCATCCATATCTTGCAGTGCAGTTCTATACAATGGATACATCTAAATCTCGCGGTGCAGTTCTATCCAATGGATGCATCCATATCTTGCAGTGAAGTTCTATCCAATGGATACATCTAAATCTCGCGGTGCAGTTCTATCCAATGGATGCATCCATATCTCGCAGTGCAGTTCTATCCAAGCCATCACAAGACACGTCCGGGGCTGATGTCATGACAAGTGTTTAACACAATTAAAACTAGGCTTATCCGATATCTCTCCAGAATTTCTCAACAAGTGCACTGAGCGAGTTGTTTTCACAGCAGAGAAATCGGTGAAAGAGGGGAAAAGTGTACAGTTTGGTGAGTGGGGAAAAGCGGGGTTGGGGGGGGGGGAATGTTGGCTTTCTCCTAACTCAGCGTAACAATTACAATAATTCATAGGCGAAATGTGGGGGGAATTTGTGAAATGACAATTATTCGCATCCAACTTAATTTTAAACAGAGCGCAACAATTACAATAATTCATAGGCGAAATGTGGGGGGAATTTGTGAAATGACAATTATTCGCATCCAACTTAATTTTAAACAGAGATGCTCCTCCCATGACCCGCCATTGGCGCTATTTGCGACTTGATGAACCCGACATTGTAACAATGTTATCTATAGGCATTATTTATCGTGACGGTGTTCAAAGTGTTTCAAGCAAATTAAGTTTGCTCTCCCGTGGCTTGGTCGCCTTCTCAAGCTTGTATCAGACACAAAACATGGGTTCAATCATCCCAGAACTAAGTTTGCTCTCCCGTGGCTTGGTCGCCTTCTCAAGCTTGTATCAGACACAAAACATGGGTTCAATCATCCCAGAACTAAGTTTGCTCTCCCGTGGCTTGGTCGCCTTCTCAAGCTTGTATCAGACACAAAACATGGGTTCAATCATCCCAGAACTAAGTTTGCTCTCCCGTGGCTTGGTTGCCTTCTCAAGCTTGTATCAGACACAAAACATGGGTTCAATCATCCCAGAATTAAGTTTGCTCTCCCGTGGCTTGGTTGCCTTCTCAAGCTTGTATCAAACAAAAAACATGGGTTCAATCATCCCAGAACTAAGTTTGCTCTCCCGTGGCTTGGTCGCCTTCTCAAGCTTGTATCAAACACAAAACATGGGTTCAATCATCCCAGAATTAAGTTTGCTCTCCCGTGGCTTGGTCGCCTTCTCAAGCTTGTATCAAACACAAAACATGGGTTCAATCATCCCAGAATTAAGTTTGCTCTCCCGTGGCTTGGTTGCCTTCTCAAGCTTGTATCAGACACAAAACATGGGTTCAATCATCCCAGAACTAAGTTTGCTCTCCCGTGGCTTGGTCGCCTTCTCAAGCTTGTATTAGACACAAAACATGGGTTCAATCATCCCAGAACTAAGTTTGCTCTCCCGTGGCTTTGTCGCCTTCTCAAGCTTGTATCAGACACAAAACATGGGTTCAATCATCCCAGAATTAAGTTTGCTCTCCCGTGGCTTGGTTGCCTTCTCAAGCTTGTATCAGACACAAAACATGGGTTCAATCATCCCAGATTTAAGTTTGCTCTCCCGTGGCTTGGTTGCCTTCTCAAGCTTGTATCAGACACAAAACATGGGTTCAATCATCCCAGAACTAAGTTTGCTCTCCCGTGGCTTGGTTGCCTTCTCAAGCTTGTATCAGACACAAAACATGGGTTCAATCATCCCAGAATTAAGTTTAAAACGAATACCCTTTAGATGGATTATTTCAACATTTTCTCTTCAAACCCCCGTTCATATAGATGAATCCTCCAGACAGGGGACTTAGGTCCCCCGCGACCGGTGGCATTTTTTTTTAACTTCATATTGAGGGATTGGAATTTTCGGCCAACAGCAGAGTTGTTGGTTTTTTTTTTTTTGTCCATGGAAAGCGGGCAGCAAAAAGTTTACCCCGCACCACGCGGCACTAACCTTTGAGCTACGCCACTGCCTCCAGAAGTTTGGGGGTGTTTGCAGGCTTCAACTGATTTAAAACGCTGAGACAATGGCAGGGGCCAGGTTGGCAGGGGCCGGGTAGAACGTGCCGATTATACCATAGGAACAAATCATCAGGACATCAATGGAGAACAAAGATTTTTCACCCAGCTATAGACAATTTAGTGTTATCAAAATTTCTGCTGATCCCATCCCAAAAACTAGTTATCTATATACCAGTTAACTACCAGTTAATTATCTACAAGCTACCAGTTTCTGATCTAGTCCATATTTAAACATAAACACAATTTTAAAGAAAATAATTGAACAACGCAATAATAGCTGCAGTTTTATATATTTATTTGCTTTGTGCTTCAGCCTCTTGAAAAAACAACATCAACAGTGGCTTGAATAAACAGAATGGCTTTCATAAATGCATCAAAAAAAATAAAAAAAAACAGAAAAAATAATATGTAGATCTCTAATGGCTTAAAATAATAGTTATAATACTGCACTGGCCAATTAAAAGTTGAATAAATTCACCTCAATACCCCCCCCCCCCAACTACTTTCTACTATACAATAATGACATTACCATTAAATTAAGTCTTTGAGAATATAATCATATTTTGTTGCTCTTCTTTACTTCATTGGACTCCTTTTTTTAAATATATATATATATTTTAAAAAATTGTCTTTAGACCACGTGACATATCGGCATGAAGCATCAAATCAAAATATGGGCAGTCCGTGACGCGCCTGTCCGAATTCTTCCGTGTGGACGCCTGACCAGCGATCTTTTAACTCAGGGTCTCCTTGTCGAACATGTACTCGCCCAGCCCAGGCCCGACACGTTTCAGGTTGGTGATGTGTCCACTGATCTCCTTGATGGACTTGACCTGCTCCTCCAGGTATTCGCACTCCAGGAAGTCGGCCATCTTTAATTAGGGAGGGGGGAAAAAAAATATGGTTCAGACACGCTGAGGTTTAAGCTCCGTGAAAAGCTAATGCTGTTTAGAGCAGTGGTTCTCAACCTTCCTAATGCCACGACCATTTAATACAGTTCCCCATGTTGTGGTGATCCCCCCCCCACCATAAAATTATTTTCGTTGCTACTTCATATAAATGTGTGTTTTTCGATATTCTTAGGTGACCCTTGTGTAAAGTTAGTTCGACCCCGAAAGGGGTCGCGACCCATAGGATGAGAGTCAGATATATTGAAGCTGGATGACAGTACAAGACAATAAAGTAGACGTTTCCGCTAAAAGCATTCCCTCCCCCGCAACAATACAAAAGCAGAGAAATCCAGAACACAAAAAAAAATATATAAAAAAATTAAGAGATATGCAAGAGACGGGCGGGTGCTAATGATATAGTATACGAAGAATTTGCAAAGTGTGGACATTTTATCATTGTCATTTGAACACACCATAAGTTGTTAACCAACATGTATAACTGAGAGGGTTGATAGAAGGTGGTCTTTCTTCAAAATTTTGGTGTGCATTTTTTTTTCGGGTCAAAATTTTTCAATTTTTTTTTAAAAAATCCATTTACATGAAATCGAAATATCTCAATTAACTGTTAAGGACATAAAAATACAACCATGGGAGTGATAGAGACTAATTGCGCAAATCTTGTGCATAGAATGGTCTGAACTTCATGGCTTACTCAGGTTAGCATTTGGTTTTATACCGAAGTCTCCACACAAAATACGCTGACATTATGGGACACAAAGGAAAGTCGAGCGAACAGACACAGTGCAAGCTTCAGCTTTGAATTTATCGACTAGAAGCATTTTATTGTCATTCAGATTCAACACGCAAATCATCCGACTCAAATTCATACATCAGTCATCAGTCAGACACTTACATTTCAATTAATCGTGTTTCGAACAGTTTTTGGCAGTATCCACATACCATAGTCAATGCACTACTCGTATTTCAACAAATACGTGAAATGAAATTTAAAAATCGATTCCAGCTATATCATTAGATGACAGTGATCGATTTCATAAAGGATACAATTTGATTAGAATCGGTATCGATACCTTGAAAGCGAACCACGAGAAAACCTTTAATTATTGAGAGACCCCACAAAAAAATTACGTGACAGTAGTATCGTAGCGTGAGGTAATCGAAGAGTCTGACCTGAGCATCCTCGTGGCTGGTGCAGAGCTTGTGCAGGTCCAGCAGGGACTGGTTGACGCTCTTCTCCAGCTGCAGGGCGACCTGCATGGCGTCCAGACCAGTGCCCCACTCGTCGCGCTCGGGTTTCTGTGGGAATAAGAAAGCGGTGATTAATAGTTCATGTGCCAGTGGCGTAGCTAGGGTTCGGGGCCCCGGGGCTTGGCCTCTTTAGGGGCCCCTGCATTTTGACATTCGACATTAATGTAAAAAAAAATAATTCGGACACTCCTTTGGGGGTCCCCCTCAAGTAGGGGCTCGGGGGACGTTCGAATTTGGACCCCCCTCCCCCTCTCCTAGCTACGCCGCTGTCATGTACATTTTAAAAAAAATATCTGACATGAAAGGTCCGATGCATAAGCAAAAAACCCAACGCAGACACTTCTATTCAGACCGTGTATCAATATTTTAAAGGCACGGCAAGTAGTGGGTTCAATTTCGGTTTTAAGAAAGTAATAAAAAAAAATTAAAAATTAAGACATCTGGTTTTTTCGATTTTCTATCAGGGGTGTTGAGTCCATACATTTTTCAATTTGGTTTCCGTAAGGTGATATGTTGCATTTGGTAAAAAAAAAAAAATTTTTGTAAAAGTGTGTGTGAAAAAGAGGAGGTGGGTTGTTCACCTTGTATTTTAAACTGGGCACATGCCTAGGGTTTTAATGGGGGGTACAAAAGTCTATTTCAATGAAATGTTAATAGTTTAAATTTGGTGTTCGTGGCTTAATTTTAGTGAACTGAGAATATTGTCAATTGGAATTTTTAAAAAAATCAAAGTTTCAGCTTTTATTAAAATGTAACGAAAACTTAATCGGGAAGACTGGTCAAATGTCCAAAGATCATTTTATTTACTGGAGTTTTTAAATGAGTTTTAAAAAAAAAATTTTTACCTTGACGTCCTGCAGGACGATGCGTCCCCCTCTCTTGATCTGATAGGACATTAGCTTCTCTGCGTGCTCCCTCTCTTCGTGTGAGAGGTTCTTGAAATACTTTGAGAATCCAGGCAGGGCGACGTCATCACGGTCGAAGAAGAAGCCCTGTTGTAACATTTAAAACAGCAACGTGGCTTGAAATGGGTTAATTACCTTCTACAGGGGCGTTAGCTGAAACTAGGCCGGTGCTTAGCTGGCATGTTATAGGGCAAGGTGGTCTAGGTTGCTGGCTTGTTATAGGGCAAGGTGGTTTAGGTTGCTGGCTTGTTATAGGGCAAGGTGGTTTAGGTTGCTGGCTTGTTATAGGGCAAGGTGGTTTAGGTTGCTGGCTTGTTATAGGGCAAGGTGGTTTAGGTTGCTGGCTTGCTGCGTTGATCGAAAGCGGTGCGTGTTCATCGGGTGTCGTCGCCACTTAAAAACCTGGTTTCCTATTGGTCTTTATTTAAGGAACTTGTCAATTTACAGTAACCCTTAACATCTTGTACATCCATTCTATGGCAAAGTTTTATGGCAGACATGGTTAAGTTGACATGGCTAAGTTGACATGGTTAAGTTCTTGCTAAAAAGACTTAAAAACGCTTTCTGATTAAAAAAAAAAAAAAAGAAAGAAAGAAAACTATAATGGAAAGACATGCAGTTGTTGGCTGGGGGCGGGAATGGGCAATTAAAACATAATGCAACTCAATTGTAAGAGACACCTTCTTTTGCAGAATGTCCGTGTCGCATTTTTATAAATTGATGCACATTAATTTATCAAAGGAAATATTACACCATGATGGGTTGAATTTTTTAATTTACCGAATCTAATGGTGGTACTCGGTAGCAGATGTCCATGCGTGTGGGTTACGGTAACCCGGACTATAAGGGTTTGGGAGGATAAAAGAAATAATACATTTAAAAAATAAGACGGCCGGCTGTGACCGGTATTTCCACTGCCAGATGAAAACATGGTTCGAACAGTTGAATTCGCCTTTGCTGCTAATACAACTTTAACAATGTATCATTTCAACTTATAGACCAACTCACCATCGATTGGTAACTGTGACTGACGTACCGACACAACTTAACATGGTATTGGGTTAACTTGTAGACCAACTCACCATCGATTGGTAACTGTGACTGACGTACCGACACAACTTAACATGGTATTGGGTCGACTTGTAGACCAACTCACCATCGATTGGTAACTGTGACTGGCGTACCGACACAACTTAATAAGGTATCGGGTCGACTTGTAGACCAACTCACCATCGACTGGTTCCACCAGTTGAAGCCACCTCTGCTGCTAACACAACTAGACAAGGTATCGGGTCGACTTGTAGACCAACTCACCATCGACTGGTTCCACCAGTTGAAGCCACCTCTGCTGCTAACACATCTTAACAATGTCTCGGGTCAACTTATAAAAACAACTCACCATTGACTGGTAGCAGTAACTGGCGTACAGCTCCATGTTGATTTGACGGTTGATGCCGGCCTCGCTATCCTGGTGGTAGTTCTGACGGCACTGGCTCAAATGGAGAGACATCTTTGGATGGTTTTCAGACGTTTCAGGTTACTTTCAGACGGTGAGAAAATTGGTTTGGTAAACAAGGCGGAACGTTCAATTTGAGTTTGGTGAAGGCTTTGAGATTTGCCCGTACGTTCCCTGACGCAGCAAGACAAATGACTGAAGAAACCCGGGGGATGACACGGGCTTATATACCAGTGGATACTGTTGTGCCACGCTGCTACGTCACAACATTGTTGCGGTCCGAACAACATGACGGGGCGCTGCCGAGGGGTCAGTGGGGGGTGGGGTCAAGTGTGTAGAAAATAGTCTGGGATGGGCTGCAGATAACCTTGGGCTTACACGTACACAAAGGCAATAATCTCTGGGTCAAGATTTCTTATCGTGTTTTAAAATCCCATTCCGAACATCTTAAACATGTCAATAAAAGTGTTTATGTGTTTTTAACGGGATGCAAATTTAATTTTCCTATAAAAGAATGATGATTAATAAGGAAAGAAATTTTTATTTATATATAAATTGGTTATGGGGAGGATTTAACTTACAATAAAAAGGAATCCCTTTAAAGAATGAATTTCCTGGTTATTGTTTAAAAATATATCACCAAAGATAAAATTAGAGGAGTTTGGCGCCAGATGAGATTGAAACTTAATAAAAAAAAAAAAAAGTAATACAATAGTAAATGCTTCACTGTGCCTTGGTGTGACACAGTCTAATATAAACAATCATTGCATGGAACCACGTGGACAATGCCGCTGTGGACTCGACATCAATCGAGAGCTTCAAGGCTGCCCTGGCATCCACTAGGAGCTTTTAGGATATCAGCATCGTACTCTACCAGAACCAGAAAAATAATATTTACAGACGGTATACAAGGGGACTTATGATCGCTATTGCTTTGTTCAAGGTCCACCTCAAATAATGTACACCAGCATACAACAATGTTGGTGCTTTGTAAAGCTTGATAGAAAAAGACTATCATCTTTTTTAGACTCTCAGTTTGTATAGTCTGATAATCGTATCACATCAACTGTCAACAACATTCGTAAAGCTTGTAAAGTTTCGATAATTAGTAAACTCGCCACATTTTTTTAAGACGAGAAAAACATCGTATCCGGGAATTTGATCGAACGGAAGTTTGGTCGATTATTATTATTTTATTTTTTTCCGTTTTCACGTTAAAATGTTGCTTAAAACTTCTGTTTGAACGCATCGTTTGTTTTACTACATGGTAGGGTGCGTTCAGAAAGAAATTTGACGGAATTTTAGCGTGTGAACTGAATAAAAGATTCGGCCATATTTCCGTTCGATCAAATTTCCGTCGATCAATTTAGCGTCGACGAAAGTTCTTTCGATCAAATTTCCGGTAACCGAAAAACACCAACTCCTCTTCCACACTCACTCACGGCCACGGAGAAAATAATAAGTGTTGAAAATAGATCAAACAACATGTCTATAATTGCATGATAATAAAAAAAAACATTTGATAAAAATGGTTCCTTGCTTGTCGATTTATAAATTTGCAATTACAAGAGATATTATTATTTTTATTATTATATAATATTATTAAATATAGCAGTCACATTTCGCAAACGTGGGATAAATTATTTATTCCCTCCTTGTGGAATTTCGCCTTTAATAGTTAATCTGTGCAGTGGCCTAGCTAGGGGGTTAGTTCAGCCGAGGTGGGCCGAAATTTTGGCCGCCTCACAATTAAATATATTCGTTAAAAGTGGCGCCCGGGGCGGACCACCTCTACCGCCCCACCGCTAGTAAATATGTGATTGTAGGGTACTAGCCCCCACCAGTTGAAAGGACCAGAGAGCGCAGTCATTATTCCTCTTGATGTGCTCGGACAATTGAACGGATCAGTTACCCCGTCAGTGCCTCGACCCATTTCAATTGTTTACCTTCAACGTTGTGGACATTGAATTCATTGTCAGGTGATCGTTATCAGGCCCTGGATTGACCCCATTAAAAGGTCACTGCCATGTTAGGCATGGCAGGGGGGGGTGGGGGAGGGACATCTCTATCGCCTGGTAAGCAAAGTGAACTCTCCTTGTGTTGACCCATCATCGTACCACATCGAACTAGCTGACATTCCCCCAGCACGTAGGCCATGGTTAGTTATGCCGGCTGTTTTCTCAAATTATTGTTACACTTTTCGACCCCTTTATTAGTAAAGTATATCCCATCCCCCCTCCTGAACCCTTCTTCAATGATTGCAACGTCATTATTTATTGTTAAACTCTACCTCCATAGTTCAACCAGCCTCGTATTCCCACCAGCGAAATACTCTCAGCAACCAAATACTCTCAGCAACCAAATACTCTCAGCAACCAAATACTCTCAGCAACCAAATACTCTCAGCAACCAAATACTCTCAGCACAAATACTCTCAGCAACCAAATACTCTCAGCAACCAAATACTCTCAGCAACCAAATACTCTCAGCAACCAAATACTCTCAGCAACCAAATACTCTTACCAAGCAAACACTCTAATCAGCCAAATACTTTTACCAGCCAAACAGCCTTACACGTTCACCAGCCGAATACTCCCACCATCCAAATGCTCCCACCATCCAAATACTCTCAGCAGCCAAAAACTCTGACCAGCGAAACAGTCTTTCACGACCACCAGCCAAATAATCCCACCAGCCAAATGCTTTCACCAGTCATATAGTTTCACCAGCCAAATAATTTCCCAAATACTCTCACCAGCCAAATACTTTCACCAGCCAAACTCTCTCACCAGCCAAATACTTTCACCAGCCAAATACTCTCAACAGCCAAACACTCCCACCAGCCAAATAGACTCGCAAGCAAATTACTTTCACCAGCCAAATGCTTTCACAAGCCCAACTCTCTCACCAGCCAAACTCTCTCACCAGCCAAACTCTCTCACCAGCCAAATAGTCTCACCAGCCAAACAGTCTCACCAGCCAAATACTTTGACCAGCCAAATACTCTCTCCAGCCAAATACTCTCTCCAGCCAAAAACTCTCTCCAGCCAAATACTCTCACTAGCCAAATACTCTCACCAGCCAAATCCTTTAACGGGTCAGTGGGATTCATAAATTATTTATATCACTACCCCAATGTCACCTTGAAATTCATTGAATTTCTTTTGGTTTACATTCCGGTGCAAGGAAAATTATTTTTTCCCTTTATGGTTCCAGAAAATATTTTTTTTTCTGCCACGTCAGTGATGTCATTGATGAAAAAAAAAAATCAGGAAGGAAGTCACGATCAAAGTTATTGCCCCTGGAAAAAATGCTGTAGCCAAACATAAAACATTTGTAGTAACTGGTACGTGGTAGGCCAGTTTGGTCTCTTTACCCCACTCATCTGGGCTTTTAGCTTACTGATTCCAGTGAGAGTGACACTTGGCTAGATAAATATGATGCCGGACAGGCGTCGAGAGCTGCCCCTGACCTACATTTAAGCCACGTGAAATTAATTTGTATAACTACTGGTTGTATTCCCCTACAGTTGGAGAAGGACTCTTAGCGACAAGATGAGCATATCGATGCGCGACTAGTTTTCCGTGGCATTTGCTAAGTACTAGATAGGGCCATCCAATAGTTAGTAGCGGGGATTCTTTCAGCTATATCTCGGGGGG